GGCGAGCGCTAACGAAACTTTAACAGATTTCAATCTCTGCTAGATAAAATAAACTTTGCCAAGTTTTCTGAGGGCAGCGCCGGCGAGCCCATCGCTCCAACCTTATTGCTCACCACAGCAGTTCATTGGCAGCAGCTCTCAGTCAGAAAAGTGTTTGCAGCTTTATGGGGTTTCAAAGCTGCCTTCAAGTTGCAGTTCTGTATTCGGCATTGGAATCGTTGGTTTTATGCGCCCAACCAGTGCTGCTTTCGTGTATGATTGACGAGAATAACCCTAGTCTTGTTACAACCAATCGAGTCTCGAGTCAAACGAAGGCAGGCGGTAAATCAAAATTTTCGTTCGATTTCATCGACTAAGACCACGAAATATTCTTTCGTCTGATTTCACTCCGTTTCGAGGCGATATTGACGAATGGCTATTGTGTCGTGACATTACTGGATGAGCTCTGCTAATTCCCATGCACTGCACCGAGACTCCTTCCAATATACATTAGAATACACTCTTCATTTAGTGTGGCAGGTCGACCAAATTTGTTTATTTTTCTCAAGTATCTGGACTTTGGAAACCAAATAGTTGTCATGCTGTGAAAGACGGCCTGGAGGTCCACTGCAACACGTAAGCTTCTTCCCACGTCGCATCGACACACTTTCCAGGTCTACGAAACCAGGAGCAGTCGAGCATACTTTCAGTGAAAGACGATTTTTTCAGCTTAATCCGTTAAAGTGCTACGACAGAAATGCTGTGAAGAGAGCATTAACCACCGCTCACATGCGTTTTACAGTGAATGTTTCAAAACGATCCCAAAAGATTTTGCAAGATGAAGAAGAAAATGCGCAAGGACTTTTCCGACAACCAAATAGAATCTCGCATTGTACATATAATATAGTGCCTGAGCCAATTATGCTATCCATTCCAAGAAATGGATGGTTATTTCTATGAAAAATTCTTCAGAGACAGTAAATGCCCATATTCACATTAACTGGCCCCGGAATTCTCAGCATCGGCCCCAGACATGCAAAGATGCCATTGCTATCTTCGGAGTCGAATGCGTGGCGCAGCCTCGAGAAAGGTAGAGATAGAGATAGCCGAGCTGAAAGACTTATTGCACTAATCGCCGTGAGTCCTCGCGTCGGACTTTAATAGTGCTGACAAAGAATTCTCATTTATGTGTGTCCGAGTTTCCGGTGTAGTGCCAGGCCCCAGACATTCTCAAGCAAACACGACGGATGACCCTTCTGAACACACAAGCTGGACTTTATAAGTTTCGGTAACCTCTGAGTGTCCGTCACTTCTACGATGGAATTCATTCTGCCGCTTCTAATCGGAACAGTCACCTGTTCAGCTCTGCGGGCACGCTCTGGTTCCGTTATGATATCAAATTGGCAACCTTTAAAAGGTTACGAAACCTCAAGGGTTAGTGTCTACATTTGTGTTCGAGACGCTCCGCGTCAGATCCATCTATGCTGTGCGTGCGTGCCGGTCGACGCCTTCGGTAACTCAGGCATCAGGTTGGAATCGTTAGCACATCATTAATCTCGCTGTTGAATCACATGTGCCATTCCGCATCACACAAAATCCGTAGTGATATCAAAAGAAGGGTTTCAAAGTTCCGCATCGAGAATTTCGAATGGAAACCTGGCTATCAATAGGAATACGAATAATGATCACAAATAATGAGCCAAACTTGTTCTGGAGATTTTGGAGACTTCCTAAGCACATTATGAGCGGTCAAAGCTGGCAGCAAATGTACTCAGTGTATGAGGCGAGCTCATCTGGGCCGATCAGCATTTGCGGGATTACGCGTGGGATTTCAGTGAGGCTAAGGTAGACGGATGCACACACAGTTTTTAGATGTACTCACTTTTTTTTGACAAGGGAAAAGAGCGAGTTTTACGGATTAAATCGGCAACTTACCATTTCTGTCTTGCAACTTGGACGCTGCACAGTTGTTTTAACTACAGGGAGCAGTTTTTTTTTCCGTATACTGGTGTGAGTTATTTTTTGATACTTCGGTTGCTTCTGCAATCGGCCTTCGCCCAGATGTTGTTCTGGGTTCCATGGACATTGAGCTTCACAAGTGGAAGTGAGAGCAAGTTGTTAGCAGATAACTGTCAACCACGGGTTGTATTCCGGCAAGTCGCTTCCGCGCTATAGAAGGCTTTTGCACTTACAAATGCCTTATTAAGGAAAGGGTGAGCCTATGGCAAATGGTGCCGAGACTTGCTTCTTGGTCTACTCAGCTGGTTCAATCTTGCGAAGGCACTGGTGGCCACATTCATAAACATATTTTCTCAATTAATTTAGGTGTAGCGACATGGGGCGTGCTATGGGGCGGTCGCTTTACCTTGGTCTTTTATTTTTTATTTTGGACTTTCTTTTTTTTTTGCTCTTTGGATTTTCATATTCCAGACTTTATACTTTTTATTTGCAACTTTCCTGAGCTGGTGTCGCTTTGTCTGGTCTCGACAAAGTGTGACACTTAATGCATTTTAACGAAATAAGTAAATAAATAAACTTCACACATTTCGTGATTGTCAGTAATGCAACCCGGTCGTGCGAGACTATAGGCGATGTGCTGCTGTGGGTGGATATCATATTGTCACATTCTACTGCAAACCAGCACTTGGTTACCACTCCTGCTGAACCATCTTTTTTTACCATTTGGTATTCATTACTGTATTATCTTTCCCATGAGTGTTTTGACAATTCAGGCTGATGTAGCGCACGCCTATCATGTTCTCATTCAACATGGAGTCCCGGCCGACAACATTATCACAATGATGTACGATGATGTTGCTTATGATCCCAAGTGAGTTTCAGGGAGCACCCTCCTCCGTTTTCTCAATGAGAAATCTGAACGATATCCCCGAAAGATTACCTTACTCGTGAGGCACAATTTTTAATACACGTTGAAAACGGGGGCCGGGAAATTTAGAAGTAAAGCGGATATGATCTGCAATCAAGAGCAGTTCGTAACTAGGACAGCTCTCGCATCTGACAAAGGCTCAGGAACCACAACCACTAGTCAATTAGGGTCCCTTTTTTAGGTATTCATCGAATGTGCTCATTTTAGGAATCCGAAGCCAGGTGAGCTGCATAACTCTCCAGACGGCCCAGACTATAGGAAGGGAATGAAGGTTGACTACAGGTTCGCTTATATTCTATTTCATAGTTGGACGATTGTTCACATCCGAGCCTTCCCGTATTTATTTGTTCCGATACAAACCCTGACTAAGACTTCTTCAACTCTTTAGAGAAAATTTGCAGTAAGCACCGAATAAGCACCGCAGAACATTACGGCAGCTTGAGAATCTACTCTTAAAATGATGTTATACATGATCTATCCAAAAACTAGTCTGGAATAAGTAAATGCATCAGATTATCAGAACTTTTTCGACTTCTACTGTATTTTGGATTTTACTAATAAGCATTAAAGGGTGACAAACATACGCTTCCTGTCGAATAACTGTAGTTACAGCCGTCAATTATCACGCCTTTTCTTCTGTGGGCCACTCCGCTGCCATTTGTTCAGAGGCACGAGTCGGGAATGAAGTGATGCCTTATTTTGTT